ACCAACAACTGAAGGGCCAGTACACAGTCCACCGTCTCCCTCCACACGCAGGGGAAGGAGAGAGAGCGATAAAAGAGGTCCATAGCGAACTAGAGGTTGGGAAGGGCAATTACAGAGCACGTGAGGACTGTCTAAACTGACTTGTGAGGAGGACGGTAAGTTGATGACTTGGAGTTGATGACCCCTCCCCCCCCCCCCCGCTTCCCTTCACTTAACACCTCTATCCCTTCACCCTCGGAGCTTCCAGAGTGTATACTGGTAATGAGGTCAAGAAGGTGGTCTGCGTCCAAGACCCGGCTTGAGGTGCTCCTCCAGTCTCCAGGTGTCCCGTGACCCCCACTTGGTTCCCGCCGCCTCCACTCATTGTTTCACGTGATGCTTGATGAAGTCACATGGATGGGGTCCTTGGTGGTGGAGAAGGCTGGTGGATGGGGTCCTTGGTGGTGGAGAAGGCTGGTGGATGGGGTCCTTGGTGGTGGAGAAGGCTGGTGGATGGGGTCCTTGGTGGTGGAGAAGGCTGGTGGATGGGGTCCTTGGTGGTGGAGAAGGCTGGTGGATGGGGTCCATGGTGGTGGAGAAGGCTGGTGGATGGGGTCCTTGGTGGTGGAGAAGGCTGGTGGATGGGGTCCTTGGTGGTGGAGAAGGCTGGTGGATGGGGTCCATGGTGGTGGAGAAGGCTGGTGGATGGGTCCTTGGTGGTGGAGAAGGCTGGTGGATGGGGTCCATGGTGGTGGAGAAGGCTGGTGGATGGGGTCCATGGTGGTGGAGAAGGCTGGTGGATGGGGTCCATGGTGGTGGAGAAGGCTGGTGGATGGGGTCCATGGTGGTGGAGAAGGCTGGTGGATGGGGTCCATGGTGGTGGAGAAGGCTGGTGGATGGGGTCCATGGTGGTGGAGAAGGCTGGTGGATGGGGTCCTTGGTGGTGGAGAAGGCTGGTGGATGGGGTCCTTGGTGGTGGAGAAGGCTGGTGGGTGGGGTCCATGGTGGTGGAGAAGGCTGGTGGATGGGGTCCATGGTGGTGGAGAAGGCTGGTGGGTGGGGTCCATGGTGGTGGAGAAGGCTGGTGGATGGGGTCCTTGGTGGTGGAGAAGGCTGGTGGATGGGGTCCTTGGTGGTGGAGAAGGCTGGTGGATGGGGTCCATGGTGGTGGAGAAGGCTGGTGGATGGGGTCCATGGTGGTGGAGAAGGCTGGTGGATGGGGTCCATGGTGGTGGAGAAGGCTGGTGGATGGGTCCATGGTGGTGGAGAAGGCTGGTGGATGGGGTCCATGGTGGTGGAGAAGGCTGGTGGATGGGGTCCTTGGTGGTGGAGAAGGCTGGTGGATGGGGTCCTTGGTGGTGGAGAAGGCTGGTGGATGGGGTCCTTGGTGGTGAGTGAGGTGTGTTGTCACACTGTCGACACACCTTGTCCTCACCTCACACACTTTGCAAACAAAATGCTTTTAGAGACGCGAGCAACAATAACTCTGGAGATGAATGTTGCAGGATGCTGGTGTCTCGTGGAGATGAATGTTGCAAGATGCTGGTGTCTCGTGGAGATGAATGTTGCAAGATGCTGGTGTCTCGTGGAGATGAATGTTGCAAGATGCTGGTGTCTCGTGGAGATGAATGTTGCAGGATGCTGGTGTCTCGTGGAGATGAATGTTGCAGGATGCTGGTGTCTCGTGGAGATGAATGTTGCAGGATGCTGGTGTCTCGTGGAGATGAATGTTGCAGGATGCTGGTGTCTCGTGGAGATGAATGCTGCAGGATGCTGGTGTCTCGTGGAGATGAATGTTGCAGGATGCTGGTGTCTCGTGGAGATGAATGTTGCAGGATGCTGGTGTCTCGTGGAGATGAATGTTGCAGGATGCTGGTGTCTCGTGGAGATGAATGTTGCAGGATGCTGGTGTCTCGTGGAGATGAATGTTGCAGGATGCTGGTGTCTCGTGGAGATGAATGTTGCAGGATGCTGGTGTCTCGTGGAGATGAATGTTGCAGGATGCTGGTGTCTCGTGGAGATGAATGTTGCAGTAATGTTGTTGCATGGAGATGAATCATGTAAGTAACAGTATGAGGTCATAGCCAACTGTGTGCCAGAGCCTTCATGTGGTCACTTGACCTGATCTCCCGTGTATCACCTGTTGAGTGAACAAGTTCAAGATGCGAGTCAGCCTCGGAGTGAATGATGTCTGATGGAGTGATGTTCTTGAGAAAGCCAGTATGATATTGTTGAAGGTTGGGAGTCTAGTGCTACGGGTGGTAACGACTGGTACTCCACGGAGTTGGGCCAGGTGCGGAACTTTGAGGATGTTGACCATGTACATAACAGTAAAACCTACAACGTCACGACGGTGTTGCAGACTCTGATGTTGCGACCATCGTGGTGGTGAGGCAGCACGCCCCCACCAGCAGGCTCTGAGGTCGTGCCTGGCTCCTCGCCTCCTGCACGCCTCTACACCGTGGGAACAACTTTACGTGAGTGACCTCCGCCTCCCCTACCATGGCCTGCCGTGACTGTTGCTACCATGGTTGTCCTCCCCTACCATGGCCTGCCGTGACTGTTGCTACCATGGTTGTCCTCCCCTACCATGGCCTGCCGTGACTGTTGCTACCATGGTTGTCCTCCCCTACCATGGCCTGCCGTGACTGTTGCTACCATGGTTGTCCTCCCCTACCATGGCCTGCCGTGACTGCTGCTACCATGGTTGTCCTCCCCTACCATGGCCGGCCGTGACTGTTGCTACCATGGTTGTCCTCCCCTACCATGGCCTGCCGTGACTACTGCCACCATGGTTGTCCTCCCCTACCATGGCCGGCCGTGACTGTTGCTACCATGGTTGTCCTCCCCTACCATGGCCTGCCGTGACTGTTGCTACCATGGTTGTCCTCCCCTACCATGGCCTGCCGTGACTACTGCCACCATGGTTGTCCTCCCCTACCATGGCCGGCCGTGACTGTTGCTACCATGGTTGTCCTCCCCTACCATGGCCTGCCGTGACTGTTGCTACCATGGTTGTCCTCCCCTACCATGGCCTGCCGTGACTACTGCCACCATGGTTGTCCTCCCCTACCATGGCCGGCCGTGACTGTTGCTACCATGGTTGTCCTCCCCTACCATGGCCTGCCGTGACTACTGCCACCATGGTTGTCCTCCCCTACCATGGCCGGCCGTGACTGTAGCTACCATGGTTGTCCTCCCCTACCATGGCCGGCCGTGACTGTTGCTACCATGGTTGTCCTCCCCTACCATGGCCTGCCATGACTGTTGCTACCATGGTTGTCCTCCCCTACCATGGCCTGCCTCCACTAGGAGTGGAGGTTATAGTGGTATATAGGGGTGGTATTCGAGGGCCACCAGTAGGTAAGACTTACCATGAGCTGTGGGAAGGGAAAGCTCTCAGTGTGCTGAAGGAGTCAGCAGTCGTCTGTTCCTGTACCCACCTGTGTAAAGGGTTGTAACTTGCGGTGAAGTGAGGTGCTAGTTGTGGTGGACCTTAGTCCAGTGTTAGTTTGTGGTGGACCTTAGTCCAGTGTTAGTTGTGGTGGACCTTAGTCCAGTGTTAGTTGTGGTGGACCTTAGTCCAGTGTTAGTTGTGGTGGACCTTAGTCCAGTGCTAGTTGTGGTGGACCTTAGTCCAGTGTTAGTTATGGTGGAACTTAGTCCAGTGTTAGTTGTGGTGGACCTTAGTCCAGTGTTAGTTATGGTGGACCTTAGTCCAGTGTTAGTTGTGGTGGACCTTAGTCCAGTGCTAGTTGTGGTGGACCTTAGTCCAGTGTTAGTTGTGGTGGACCTTAGCCCAGTGTTAGTTGTGGTGGACCTTAGTCCAGTGTTAGTTGTGGTGGATGTTGGTGGTGGTTGTTGTTGGTTGTTGTTTGTGGTGGTTGTTGGTGGTGGTTGTTAGTGGTGTTTGTTTTTGTGATGGTTGTTGGTGGGGGTTATTGGTGGTGGTTGCTGGTGGTAGCTATTAGTGGTGGTGTTTGTTGGAGGTGGTTGTTAGTGGTGGTTGTTAGTGGTGTTATGGGGCCACTTCTATTTCTCTCCAAATCCGGCTTTAAGAGTCATATCTGCTGACCCTGCTGATTCCCTGAGGTACAGGGAGTCTCTTGATATATGAGGCAACCATATTAGTCACTTAATTGGGGAGAAATTCGTATTTATAAGTTTGTATGTAAGGGGGGAAGTCGCGCCCTTGATACAAACAAAATGGCGCCCCCTGCCTGCAAATCTGCCATTTTGTGGACGACGCCAGCTGGGTACGGATTGGCTGGCCCAGGTCACATGGATCGGCCAACCAATCAGCGCCCGTCGTGACGACACCGAGAACCCCTGGCGGCGCCGGCGGAGACTTCGCTCAGAGCTGACCTGACTGTGGACATGCGTCAAATAGTTCTCGAAGTCGGAGGCTCTGGAAGCCTTGTTCAGTGGATCATAAGCAGCTATCTCAGCCCACCATCAAGGCTGAAGACCCTGTACTCCTGGGAGCAAGAAGAAGCCAAGTTTATTGGGCAAAGAAGTGTCAAAACTTGAGGTATCGGTTGGCGACGACTCAGGAGGGCGTAGCCTGACATCCGCGGGTCTGGTTGGTGTGTAGAGCAGGACTGCAGTGACTGGGTCACATCTACTGAGAACGTTAGAGGGAAGGCACCATTCCTAGGTCAAGGAGAGACGCCTTTATGGAAGGAACGTGTGTATACAGTGACTGACTCAGTGACCACTGGTTGGACCAAGATTTGGAATACCTGAATATCTTTGGGAATGGCACGGCGAGGACGCGATTGCTTCTCGACACCTGAGGCTCTGCAACATGTTACTGGATCGTTAAAGAGCGACTCAGGAACTGTAGGAACCTCATACCATCGAGGGACAAGCGTCGTGAACCAGGAATGTTGAAGGTAGATCATTTATCCCTCCCATTGCCTCTTGTTGATTAGGCTAGTTAGGCCATCAAATATCTATATATGGTATCATTATTTATTAGAACTTTAGTATTAGGATAGGCTGCAGGGCAGCTAGTATTTATGGCTGTTAAGGAAGACAGTTTGTGGACGGCGTGGCAGTTGGTGAGGAGGAGGTCGACGTTGAAGAAGTGTCCCCCCCCCCCTCCCCTTCGATAGGGTGTGAGACATCCATTTAAATCTGCCAAGCTGACGGAGTTGCCGGAGGGTATGACAGGAAAGCTGCCGACGATCTCCAGAATATTTATTATATATATATATATATATATATATATATATATATATATATATATATATATATATATATATATATATACATATATATATATTGTGACGATAATCTCCTTCAAGAGATTGAGCCTGCTCTTCCCTCCACAATTACGTCGTTATATATATATATAAAACTACTATGGAAGAAATGTCCAACAACGACAACAACACCAGCAAGGTTTGCCAGAGCGCAAAACGTATGCAGCCAGGGACACCTGCTCAGACTCAAACTGCCAAACTACCTGTCTTACTGCCGGCTCCTCGCCTGATTGGTCGCCGGTCTGGCTGCAACTGCACTCACCCCCCCATACTACTTGATGTCTGGGGCCGCCACGACCTCCGTCCTCAGAATATTCCGTGCTTTCTCACAGTTAACACTTCTCCCTGCTAGACGTAAGCTTTGGCGTACGTGTACTGAGAGAGGTGATAGCTTAAAGCCAATATTCCAGCACCTTTCATTTACTTTTATATTGCACATCTTGTTATTTTGTCTTAACGTAACTTTTCATTGTGTCATTTAATTATTCTTATTATTTTGATTGATTTTATTATACGAATTTGTTTGTCCATTTTATTCATGTTTTGTTTATTTAACATAATTAAAATTCCATTGTTAAAGTTTACTTGTGTTTTGTGTGTCTTCTCCTTACCTTACTACAGACGAAGTTCCAGATTTTCTATTTTTTTTTATACTATGTGACGAGGCCATACCCCTAGCTTTGAACAGCCGAACACCAACTCGTTACCGTCACATATTATATGGGGGCCTGTCCTAGGAGCTTCACTCAGGTACTGGTGCCAAGTGGTAATTTATGGTAAGCGTATTTAACTTTGTTAACGTAGCTTTACTATTTTTCATATTAATTTCATTTTTTATAAGGTGCGGTGTATTGTGCATTACGAGAGTAACATATAGCGAAGGTGAGACAACTTTGGATTACGTGGTGACTGTAGGCCTCAGTCATACTCTTAATTGGTCATCTCTCCCTCCGTGTTATTACTCGTGTTTACCATCTTTGTCCCTTGAATATTTCTCATTTTTGACAGATCATCATATTGGTACCCTGGTACTGTGGTCTGCCCCGGGTCAAGAGTACCCAATCTTCTGCAATCTGACTGTAGGAGGACAAAGAGGGCCATAGTTCCTCTAGCTCGAACTTTAGTTGCTGAATTGGGACCTCAGCAGCAGCAGTTCTCGTCACCAGTTGACACCTCGCACCCCTACACGTCAGTCAGAGATGATGATACATACAACGGTAGGGAATTAGCTTACTTTTCAGAGCACAAAAGTTCGCTAATTCTGTAAGTATCATTAAATTCAGTAGGAAAAACTTGCTTTATGTCCTATAGAGACTTGGCAAGGTATGCCTACATCCTTGGACTACCAATTTTACTTTTGAGGCAATTAACCGTTTCATTTGTTTTCGAAACTCTGTTTCATTTGTTAGTAGGATTTTCTTGCCCTTATCCTCTTACATGAGTACCGGGTACAAGATTTCCTGCGCCCTTGATTTAATTTAATCATTTAACATCTTTAACTTTAATTGTTAAAGATCTCACAGGATAGGTATCAGTTGCCACGTTGTCCTGTTTCTGACATTCACTATTGAATATTCGTGTACCTTTATTTGCTAATTTCACCATGTTTCGTCTCCAAACTTTCCGTGCAAATCCAGCAGGTGAAATAGGGACTTTAAGTCGTGCCAAGAAGACTGAATTACAAACTCTTGCACATGAGTATCAACTAGAAGTTCCCTACCAAGCCAACAAAAATGACATACACAACCTGTTGCTGGATTACTATTTAGAGCAAGGTAAGATAGACTCTGAAACTCATGAAACTTACTATATTGCAGAAAAAACTGATTTGGCAACGCTGAAACTCAAACTAGAGCTGGCCAAGATTGAACGTGAGCAGCAAAGGGAAGCCCTCGAACAACAGGAAAGAGCAGCTGCCATACGAAGGGAAGAACACGAACGTGAGGCTGCCTTAAGGAGAGAAGAAATCGCCCTCAGAGAACGTGAAACTACTTTGAGGAGAGAAGAACAAGAACGAGAAATCACCCTCAGAGAACGTGAAACTACTTTGAGGAGAGAAGAACAAGAACGCGAAGCTGCCTTGAGGAGAGAAGAACACGAACGTGAGGTCGCATTACTCCGTGAACGTGAACGAGTACAGCTTGAAACCAAACAACGCGAGTTGGAAATACAACGCGAACATGACAAGCAACAAGCGACTCTGGCTCTAGAGTGTCGTCAACGCGAAATCGCCTTGGAAACTTCAAACTTCACTCAACGCCAACAAGCTACTGCCAATCTTCCCGTCAGTATTAATATATCACATGCAAGTAAGTTAATGCCATCCTTTGTAGAAGCAGAAGTTGATGTGTTCTTTACCACATTTGAAACCCTTGCTAATCAACTCAGTTGGCCTGTCGACCAATGGGCCACACTTCTCAGAGTCCATCTTACAGGTAGAGCTGCAGTCACACTCAGTACTTTGGCGTCTGAGAATGACTACCACACTCTGAAACAAGCAGTGTTGGACGCCTACCTCCTCTCTACTGAAAGTTATAGAAGGAAATTCCGTGACCACCTGAAGGCAAGTACCACTACCTTCCTCGAGTTTGCTAACACGAAACGGAGGTATTTCATGAAATGGCTGGAAGCAGCACATGTCTCTAGTTTTACAGAACTCGTCAACCTGATGCTTGTTGAAGAATTCTTGACGTGTGCCGCCTCCTGTCCGCCTCTACTTAGCAGATAAAGAAGAAACCGACTACCTGAAGTGTGCTAAGTCGGCTGACACCCGAACCATCCTCCAGTAAGAAGTCGTGGTACAGTTACGAGAAAGTGAGCCCCGATCAAGCTGGTTCACAACTGTACTGCAAGTATTGTAGACTCTATGGACATACCATAGACAAGTGTGGTAAGTCTCAATACAAGGGAACCACTGACCAACAAAAACCCAAACCAACTCCTCCTAAGTCCGGTAAGCCTGTGATGAATGTTGGTGTTAATGTTAATGATCTTTCTCTTTTCAGTAACCACCTGTATACTGGAACTGTCTCTGCCAACGGTTCAAATCCGGAGGGACGTTTCAAATTGAAGATCTTGAGGGACACAGCGGCTCTTCAATCGATCATCTTGAAGTCGGCTGTGCCCAACGTCGTCTACACCGGAGAAACTGTCTTCATCACTGACCTCACTGCTACCACTCCATACCCTCTCGCCAGAGTCCACCTGGATTGTCCCTACGTGAACGGAGAAGTCCAAGTCGCCGTCAGGGAAAAGCCTTTTCCCATGCCTGGAGTGCAACTTCTCCTAGGCAACGACTTGGCAGAAGACCTGCAACCGACCAACCTGATCGTCATGGACAAACCCCAGGTGTGTAACTCTGTGCCAAGTAACCCTATTCTAGAGTATGTTCCAGCAGAGGTTCAAGAGAGTGATGAAGTTTCTCCTCCGGTTCTCGTGACCACCCGTGCACAAGCCGCACGTCCACAGCCAGCTGAATCTACTGCTACCGCTGTCCCTCAAGATCCTCAGAAACTCCCCCCGCATCTGACCAAGTTGGAGTTCCGTAAGTTGCAGAGGGAAGATCTTACTTTAACACCATTGTTTTTCCAGGCTGAGACTCAACCCAACAGTATTCCTGGGTTCTTCCTAGAGAACGACTTGCTCTACCGCAGATATAGACCCAGTAAACTGAAGGAGGAGGACGATTGGGCCAACATCGAACAACTTGTGATTCCCACCAGCCTGCGGCCCACTATTCTACACCTGGCCCACGGAGCACTCTCCCACTACGGCTTCAACAAGACTTACCATGGAATTCGTCAAGACTACTACTGGCCAGGTATGGTAAATAACGTCAAACAGTATGTAAAACAGTGTCATACATGTCAGATGGCAGGCAAACCGAACATCTCCATTCCCAGAGCGCCACTGATTCCCATACAGGTGCCTGCAGAACCTTTCCACAGACTCATAATAGACTGTGTTGGTCCTTTACCTCGGACCAGTTCAGGTAACGCCTACATCCTAACCATCCTGTGTCCTACCACCAGATTTCCCATAGCAGTTCCAGTGAAGAACATCACGGCTGCTACGGTTATAAAACATCTATTGAAGATCTTCACTCAATACGGATTTCCCAGGGAGATTCAGAGCGACTGTGGTACCAACTTCACCAGTGATCTCTTCAAAAGGACACTGGAGGAGTTCAACATCAAACAGGTATTGTCCAGCCCCTATCATCCTGCTTCACAGGGTTCTCTTGAACGTAGTCATCAGACAATCAAAGCACTCTTGAAAAAGTTTTGTAGTGAAACCTCTAAGGATTGGGATAAGCAGATTGACCTTATAATGTGTATTTACAGAAGTCTCCCCAATGAGTCCCTAGGAGTATCTCCTTATGAGATGCTCTACGGCCGTAAGTGCCGTACTCCCCTTAAGGCTTTCAAAGACTCTCTCAGAGATGCCACCTTCAGTGAGCATCAGAATGTGCCCCAGTTTCTTCAAAACCTTCAACACATTCTCGAGAGAGTCCACCGCTTTGCCCATGATAATCTATTGAAAGCCCAGGAGAGAATGAAGATTCATTATGACCAGACCAGCAAAGTAAGAAAATTCAAGCCGGGAGACTTCGTCCTTGCATATTTCCCTATCCCAGGTTCACCTTTACAAAACAGGTTTTCAGGACCCTACTGCGTCAAAGAGTGCCGGAATAACAACAACTACGTCATAGAAACTCCAGATAGGCGGCGGAAGACCCAGCTGTGCCACGTCAACCTCCTGAAGCAATATAATGGTACTCCTCCCACTGTCCTGACTAACTGTTCTACCTTCACAGAACACAGTGAGACCTTCCCAGCTTCTCCTCCCGAAAGCACTGACAAGGAGTCAGCGCTTTCTAATTCCGAAATCCTTAATGATCTTCCCAAATGCTTTCAGGATAATAATCGTGCTCCTTTGCCCTATTCTAATTCCACTCTCACCTCGTCAGATAAGCCCTTCATCCTCCATGTCGACGCCAGTGGTACCGACGTTGGTGATGTCGCGATGCAGCAACGAGGCGAGGAGAATACACCTGTCAGCAACTACTGCTACAAGGAACTACGGAACAATTGGCAAGGAGCTACTCTTCATCATCTTGAAGCTCCAGCACTTCACTCCACACCTGAAAAGTGCTCGGTCCACCATCAACACGGACCACACCACCCTACACCTCCTGCAGCACGCCCACTTCTCATCTCAACGTCTTCTACTATGGGCTTGCTAACTGCAGAAAATTCACCTGGAGACACGCTATACCAAGATTCCGACAACATCTTAGCCCATGATCTCTCCAGAGTTTATGAAGTAGAAGCGACTCCATCTATTACTCCACCACATAACGACGTACTTCTTCCAGAACCGCAGGCTTCGGGGGAGAGTTGTGACGATAATCTCCTTCAAGAGATTGAGCCTGCTCTTCCTCCACAATTACGTCGTTATATATATATAAAACTACTATGGAAGAAATGTCCAACAACGACAACAACACCAGCAAGGTTTGCCAGAGCGCAAAACGTATGCAGCCAGGGACACCTGCTCAGACTCAAACCGCCAAACTACCTGTCTTACTGCCGGCTCCTCGCCTGATTGGTCGCCGGTCTGGCTGCAACTGCACTCACCCCCCCATACTACTTGATGTCTGGGGCCGCCACAACCTCCATCCTCAGAATATTCCGTGCTTTCTCACAGTTAACACTTCTCCCTGCTAGACGTAAGCTTTGGCGTACGTGTACTGAGAGAGGTGATAGCTTAAAGCCAATATTCCAGCACCTTTCATTTACTTTTATATTGCACATCTTGTTATTTTGTCTTAACGTAACTTTTCATTGTGTCATTTAATTATTCTTATTATTTTGATTGATTTTATTATACGAATTTGTTTGTCCATTTTATTCATGTTTTGTTTATTTAACGTAATTAAAATTCCATTGTTAAAGTTTACTTGTGTTTTGTGTGTCTTCTCCTTACCTTACCACAGACGAAGTTCCAGATTTTCTATTTTTTTTTATACTATGTGACGAGGCCATACCCCTAGCTTTGAACAGCCGAACACCAACGCGTTACCGTTACAATATATATATATATATATATATATATATATATATATATATATATATATATATATATATATATATATATATATATATATATATATATATACCCATGCATGTCATATAAATGTCATATACTCTCTAGTAAATGTCATATACTTTCACTGATGTGTTTAAGTGTGCCTCCATATTATCTCTACGAGCATACGAGAGTGATATTGTAACCCCACCTAGTGAACAATAAGATTTTATATGGAAATTTCCTAGTGGCTAGTGGTGCTAGAGCAACACAGACATTTTATAGAAGCATACCCTAGGCTGATGGTCGTGTTTCAGCCCTGTAAGTGCAACAACACTTTGTTATCAGGCAACATAGTGCATACCCACTGAACTGCATTGCTGGGGTGCAGAGATATTAATCTAGCTGGCGACCTTGTTGGATAGTATAGAATGCAGATGTGGATGAGAGACTTGCAATCTTTTTGTTAAGGCAGGCAAGACTCAGAGGAAGTGCTGTTGAAGATAAGCCTGAGTCTTCCTTCACTCCTCCGTGGGGCAAGGCCGGAATTGCTGGCAGCAGTTTTCCCCGTGGTTGACTGAAGGGCTCCCAGGGTGAATCAGTGGCACCCCAGGTGGTGGGAGTATAGACCTGCGGTGGTGGGTATTACCTGGTCCTCTCCTTTGGGTCCTAGGGACTCTGGTGAGTTACATGAGTCAGAGAGACTGACTATTATGTCTCCTGATCTCCTAGCGGCCCCCCTTGGCTAGAAGAGCCCCAGTCCACACCCCCCCCCCCTCCTGTAACAGTGGTGGATTTTGGTGGTGGTTGTTCATGGTGGAAGTTGGTGGTGGTTGTTACTGGTGGTGGATGTTTATGGTGGTTGTTAGTGGTAAATGTTGGTGGTGGTTGTTAGTGGTGGATGTTGGTGGTGGAGGTTGTTGGTGGTGGATGTTGCTGGTGGATGTAGGTGGTGGATGTTGCTGGTGGATGTGGGTGGTAGATGTTGGTGGTGGTTGCTGGTGATGGAGATTCGTGGTGGTTGGTGGTGGTGTAACACCCAGGACCTCCCCCCCCTTAGATTTCACACCCAGGGAAGCCTTCTCCAAGAGGTCAGCCCAGATGACCTCCGGTTTATCTTGTATATTGATTAAAAATTCCTGGGTTAGTCTTAGTCAGCATAGTTTCAAGTATGTAAGATTTCATGTAAGGGAATTAGACTCCAGATTCTTATGTGTAAACATCCCTGGATCTCCCCCTTTTGGCCAGGTCAGAGGTCAGTCACACACGTAATTAATAACTCCTCTCTTGAAGAGTGTATGGTGAATGTCAAACAAGCTTATTGAAATATTTCTTAAGTGTTTGTGCACGTGTGGCCCGACCCCCCTAGCATTTCTGACCAGGTACCAACAGCAGATCTTCCCCTCCCCCCTGTGGGGGTTGTATATAGAGGTCCTGTAGGGACTTAGTAAGGACAGAGTGCCGGACACCGGGGTCCAGAGAGGGCTGTGAAGAACACCTCAGCCAGGGAGAGACAGATATCTTAAGGTAATGTGTGTGATCTCTGAGTTTTTGTTCCATGTCCAAATTTCTTAACTTTTTGCCAGTGTTAGAGTAGGATTTATAAGTGGTGATTGACATAATTTTGGTCCCAATAAAACTCATGTTAAATTTCCCGTCTGTGTCAATTGTTGAATCCTCTTAGCCTTTTGGATATAGTGGCTGACAACCGATTCCATAATTAACGACAGTCATAGAAAGTACTCTCCAAGTCAAGCAATGTTTCTTGCCTCGTTGCTTGATATAGTCTCAATGGTCAAAGGCAGATGGTGGCAGCGTATTTCATCCTGTGTTAGCATCTCCTTGTTGGCAGTGTACTTTGTAGTCCCGGTGTAACCATCATATGTCAGCCCATAACAGTGTTACCAAGTGCAACCGATGAGGAAGTGTTACTCAGGATAAGTAGTGTTTACATTATTAGTTTAGTATCCATTATAGTAGTGCATTTAGAGTGGTGTTACAGTGGCTGTGGTGAATGTTGGTGGTAGATGTTGGTGGTGGATGATGGTGGTGACTAACATTGTTGGTGGTGGATGATGGTGGTGGCTAACATTGTTGGTGGTGGATGTTAGTGGTGGATGATGGTGGTAGATGTTGGTGGTGGATGATGGTGGTGGCTAACATTGTTGGTGGTGGATGTTAGTGGTGGATGTTAGTGGTGGATGATGGTGGTAGATGTTGGTGGTGGATATTGGTGGTGGATGTTAGTGGTGGATGATGGTGGTGGATGTTGGTGGTGGATGTTGGTGGTGGATGTTAGTGGTGGATGATGGTGGTGGATGATGGTGGTGGATGTTGGTGGTGGATGTTGGTGGTGGATGTTAGTGGTGGATGTTGGTGGTGGATGTTGGTGGTGGATGTTGGTGGTGGATGTTGAAGGCAGAGGAGTGTGAGGGCGTCCCCGGGCTGGTGATGGCCTGCAGTGTGATGATGACTGCCGTGATAGTGACCGTGATGATGACTGCCGTGATAGTGAGTGTGATGATGACTGCCGTGATAGTGAGCGTGATGATGACTGCCGTGATAGTGAGCGTGATGATGACTGCCGTGATAGTGAGCGTGATGATGACTGCCGTGATAGTGAGTGTGATGATGACTGCCGTGATAGTGAGCGTGATGATGACTGCCGTGATAGTGAGTGTGATGATGACTGCCGTGATAGTGAGAGTGATGATGACTGCCGTGATAGTGAGCGTGATGATGACTGCCGTGATAGTGACCGTGATGATGACTGCCGTGATAGTGAGTGTGATGATGACTGCCGTGATAGTGAGCGTGATGATGACTGCCGTGATAGTGAGCGTGATGATGACTGCCGTAATAGTGAGCGTGATGATGACTGCCGTGATAGTGAGTGTGATGATGACTGCCGTGATAGTGAGTGTGATGATGACTGCCGTGATAGTGAGCGTGATGATGACTGCCGTGATAGTGAGCGTGATGATGACTGCCGTGATAGTGAGCGTGATGATGACTGCCATGATAGTGAGTGTGATGATGACTGCCGTGATAGTGACCGTGATGATGACTGCCGTGATAGTGAGCGTGATGATGACTGCCGTGATAGTGAGCGTGATGGCCGCCTGTCAGGTCGTGACACCCCCCCCCCCCACCCTCCCATCATCGTCCCAGTAATTAGTGATTCGTGAAATTAGCAATTCGTGATATCGAAAGTAGCGATTTCACGGTGGTGGCTCCGCTGGCGGGTATACTGACCTTCCCGGTACACCAGCGGGTATAAGGCCCGGGTATACTGTGTCCTGGAGTATACTGAGAGGTCCTTCATATATCTTGAGACATATCACAGCTTCCGGGTGAGCCCCCCCCCCCCTAATCACCCTTGTCTCCTTAAGGATGACGACAGCTGTCTTCACCGGCCAATCACCATGCACTAATTATCACGACTGTTAATGTGTCGCCATAATGATGCAGTAAAATAAATATTTGGTGGTTGAGAGAGGATGTGCGCGGCCCCACCTCCAGCCGGGGCACGACTCCTGCTCTTTAAGACCCCTGATCACCAGATGCCTCCTTAGATTAATTTCTTACAGAGCCCCGCTCAAGGGACGACCCCACCTCCCTGCGTTTCGGCCCTTGCGGCCTCACGCTCCAAGGGTGAAAATCGCCTATCGGATAAAGTCGTGATGCAGCCCTTTAACATAATCAAATTGAAGTAAATGGTCAGACTGGCAGCATTTGCCAGCAGTGTTTAGTCTCCTTCAGAATGGTTCCCGTGACGACGGCGTCACGTGTGTGACGTTGTGTTGGTCCGTGACGGTGTGGTAGACCGTCACAACACTTGTGTAGGGCGGCTGTGGGTGCCCTCGCTGACGCCCACACCTGCGCCACGGTGGTGAGGGAGCGGGGGAGGGAGGGAGAGAGAGAGGATTCGAACGAAGGTGAGGGAGAGAGGCCGTGAGAGTGTGTCGCCGTGATCAGTAGCGGGTGAGACGCCGCTGCTCGCCGCTCAAGGCACCCGGGGCCGCAGCTCCTACTTAACTCTTCAAAAACCATAATTATCTTGCTGCTTTTTTCTTATTGTTGCCCTTTGCTGTGTGATATTA